TACATATCCTATTCCAGAAGGCTGGTCGATGAACATTTACTTTCAGGATTTTGATGTGGAAGAAAGTCCAAATTGCGGGTAAGTGATACCGCTGTGATTGTCGAGGTGTATCAGTGTATCTAATGTAACGTAGCGACATGTGATGGAGTTACGCTTCTACTAACATTTTATATATTCAGGATCCTTTGATCCTTCTACTCCCGCCCGGGGTCCTGGTATATGCCTAGCCCTGCGAGAACCCCGACGCATTTTGCTCCCTTATAGGTTTGGTCTCGCATGTTAGAGAGAATGCAAACATGATGCTGCATTCCTATCTGTTTCATCTCCTCTTGATCAAATATGCATTTTATAATACATAAATTTTATCGCTATCTGAGATTATCAATTTCATATTGAAGGATCACACGTCTTTAATTTTTCAATGACACATGCATTGTAGGTTACTTGGCATATTTAAAGTGCCTATGAAATAAAATTTTTGTCCCCTTTTTTATTCCAGAAAGTTAACATAAATGTTACACTGATTCATAATTTTCCAATTTAACCTCTGGTCAGGCGCGTAAAACTTTTTTTTTTTTTTAATCCCTCCAAGCCGAAAATGCAAGTTTTGTAACTAGTGACGTCATAAGGTGTGTAACTTTCGATCGCGCCACTTCGCGTCGGTGTACGTATTTCCTACGAAGTTACCACTCGGTGAGCTTTTTTTTGGCGATTTAATTCAGTGGAGAATGTCTTCAGATGATGAATTATCCAGTAATACATCATCTTGGTCTGTTGTTGAGTCAAGGAAACAGTCTGTAATTGGTTAACTATAAAACCGTTATGCCTCCAAAATAGGAAAATGGCGAAAGTGCCTTTCGCTTTGGTAAGTTTAGCCTGATTTAACCACTGCGGACGCGGTTCTTTACAAATCTCACACACATACTACAAATATCAAGCTACAATCGAAAGCATGTTCTAGTTGCTTCAAACAGTATTTCACCTTTTTTGCTCTGAGGGGAGAATATATGTAATGTAAAAAAAAAAAAATGCAAATCTTATTTATAGTGGTCATACACTTAGCTATAGAAGCACTAAGCTTAACTAGTTTACAGAAGTGCCACTGAAGCAAAGGACACAAATATTTCAAATAAACATAACATTGTTAAAAATCCCAACTGGCAGGAGGCAGACCAGTTGGCTATTTACAAAGCGTGACCGAGGATTCGAACTCTCTACCGAGAAACAAATCCCGCTGGTGGCAGGGTGGAGGCCTTGAACCCGGGACCTCCAGATTACAATACCAGCGCCCTAAACCACTTGACCACGCTGCGTATCATATCATTCTTTTATAAAATCCATTGTCAGTTCTTGTTGTGTTGTAGCAGCTTGCATTGAAGATACTCTCGTTCACACGCTCGCTC